CCTGGTAATACCAACATGATGGATGCTCAGATTTGTGAGGTGGGGCCACTGTGATGCCATTACCCGTGACATATACACATATGTAATGACATCATCACAGTAACCTTGAATAAAATTGTTGCATTTGTTATTTCCTTGGTTGATGTGATGTCATCTTTATTGATGTCCATCTGTGCTCATCCAGTAAATCAAGAATCACTGGACAGATCTTCATGAAATTTGGTATGAACATTATGCCATCAGTGCCTGTACTTCTTAATTTATTTTATTCATTAATGCCAATGTGATGGATTGTCAAAGCTGTGAGCATGGTGCCATTATCCAAGATCTTCTGCGCAAGGGTGATGACATCATTGCCTGAGGCGACACGATCATCCTTAATGTTGAGCGTGCGAAACGAATGCTTTGGAATTTTAGTGCACTGCATGGAGTGTGCCTTCCCAGTTGTTTTCAGAGTTTGATGAGTCCCTCATATTTCAGAATGTAGAAAATTATAGAGTTTAGAATTTCCTTCATCTTGTCATTAACCTAACTTGTGAGTCTTGCAACACAACAGCAAGGTGCAGAAATAAAAACTCGTAGTTATAAGTCGACTTATGTTGTAGGATGTGTGTGAAAGTGCAGAAGAAGATAATCTAAGTACGTCGACACCGAGGAGGAAGTTGTTTGTCTGTGAAGAGAAGCATCAGGAGATGTCTGTATCTCCTGCTGGATCTTCATGCTTTTCCATGCAAGTTGAGTGTAAACTCAGCAGTCCAGCACACAGTGGTCTTTTCGTAACGGCATCCTCGAGGGTAAATAAATATCAGCAGATTACATTGTTATATTCTATTTTTTTGTGCAGATGTCAGTATACAGGATACTCCATTTAAAACGAATTCCAAACTACAAAGGCATTTGTAAGCTTTCATTACATCAGCTTTTATTCATTAGGAATAACTTTGCAGCATATCCTGATAATGCCCACCACCTTCTCAAAAACAAGCATCCACTGACATTTTGTTACCAGTTCGCATAACATGTTAAGGGCATCTGCTTTTGAGAATTTTTAATCAGTTTCATTGTCTGCAAATCTGAGAATTCATTATTAATGTGTGTAGTATTATTGTTGATTTATTTCTTGCTTTATTTTTATTTATTCAGATTCTTTGCCCATCCACTCCAGTAATTGACAGTCGCACTTATGGGACCCCACTTCTAGGTTCCAAGCTTATTCCATCACCAGAAATTTCTCCAATTGCCAGCGTTCACCAACGAAATAAATCGGTCGCACGTCTGAACTTTAGCAGCAGAATGATGGCTACAGACAACGCAACAACATTTGGCCCTTCTGATTCTCCGTTAGGTGAGCGTGAGCTTGTGTATTTAGAAAACTACAACACATTCTGCAGTTGGAACATGGTGAACTATATCCAGGAGCAATTTTTATGCATAATGAATTTGAATTGTGCATATGAGAACTTGTTTTCCATTTCAGAAAATGGAGATAGAACAGTGGAAATGATTTGACTATTTTTTTTTTTGTATCAGGTATGGTCCCGATTCAACATGAGGATGAATGCTGTGCCGATCATAAGGTCACAGATTATGTTCTGCCAAGTTCCTCTTCTGCTATGATCACATCAGAAACTTCTACGCCAGTCAAAGGAGAAGCCGAATCCTTCAGCTCGACATCAGTTATGATTACTTCAGAAACATCTACACCAGTTAAAGAAAAATTACCTCCTTTGAGTGAAGATGTCTCCATGGAAAGTCTACATTTTAAACAGATTCAAAAGAAATTAAAAGAGTTTGAGAACACCGATAATATTGTAAAAGAAGGAGATCTAACAAATTTAAACAGTTTTTCTCTCCATTCAACTGCAGAAAATTCTCTGTCAAATGGCAGCGACATGCATAGCCATGACACAGGGTATCAGACTGGTAGTATGAGCTATATGACTAGTATTAATGGTGGAGCGACATCTGTGTCATCTACTTCCAAAAACTGGGCCACCTTACGCTTTAAGTCAGTAGGAGACAGGCATGTTACTACATCAAGCAAAGGTTTTGGTAGTGATAAAAGTAACGTCGCCAACAAAGGCTTGGCTGTGGCTCTGGATGACAATTTGTGGCTTCCTGGCTCAAGGCACATTATATCCTCAACACCGACAAAATCATGTGACTGAACAAACATTTTTAAAATATATTTTTACTTGTTCCTGCAATCAGTGTTATGTGATATTTGAAAACTGCCCAGAGTCTGCGGGCAAAAATTGATTTATCCAGCAAATAGCAATAGGAAGCAACCATTAAATAAGAGGGGAAAATTTGGAAGTTTTGTAACTTGTCCAGTTAAGATCTTTTGGGTCTGAGTATGTGATAAAAAGCAGACTTCTGTTCTCTTTAATTTAATTGTTATTTGGATTTGAATGCTTCTGCATTTGCTGACATATATTTTAAATCATAAAGTGTGAAATGGAATGTGAGGTGTTAATGCTAGAATAGGCGAGAAAACAAATTACAAATCGTACAGCTTTGGCAGAAATCATGTATCTAATGATAAATTCATATACAGTAGTACCCGCTTAAGATGGTTTCTCACCTGTAAAGCTAAAATCATTGGGTCCCAGAAATATCACCACAAGAATACCGTGTTTATGTCATGTAGAAAAGTTTACTTCAAATTACATGAGATATATTCTTCAAGACAGAAGAACATTTCAGAACAGACTGTTTATTTTTAACCATGACAGTTGGATATACTGTAATGGTTTTTGGGGTGGGGGTCTACAAGGGAGATGCTGTAATTAATTTTGTAAATATTTTCAAACCTGTCCTTTTAAGATGTTTTTCTGTGCAAGAAGTTTGTATTATGTGATCTACTGTATGTTATATATTTTTCCCAGTTTTTACATTTCATTTACCTGAAATATCTGTGTGTAATCTGTCTACTTTATTTACACACAATTCTGTTAGCATATAAATTGCTGGTGAAATGTTAGTTTTTGAAGTGTTCCTACTTTCTGCAGTCTCTAACATCTGCCTTCTATGGAGGTTCCATCATGTTTTAGGAATCTTTGTGCATGGTTATTACAAAAAGGCTTTATGGGTATTGTGTTACATCTTATGCTTATTATGACTAAATTGTATATGGCATTTCAATTGGAAAACTTGTACTACAAGTAAACTAATAAAATATAAATTAAGGCTACAGAGATCATTTAGAATTTGCATTTTTTCTTGAAGATGTAAGTGAAAATTTTAATGAATATTTAATGAAATATTCACTAAACAAAAATGTATTAATGAGTTTCAGAACTTGCAATGAAAGAAATTTCAGCTTATACAAGAACATGTGATACTGCATAACACACTTATAACCTTATGTTCCTGTCTTCCGCAGACTCAAATTTTGTATAACAAATTACTAATTCAGGTGTTAGTACTTTAATTGATAGACCAGAATGTTCTATGTTCTGTAGATGGGTCAATGTTATTTTATGTTTTTTGACGTAAATACGTATTGAAGGGTCATTCCGCAAAAAAGTGTTACGAAAAAGTGACAGGAAAATGTGTAACATGGTTACCTAGGAAATGTCATCTGTTTACTTGGCATTGTTGTGTTGCATTACTGCTGTCAACAATCCGCTTTCGTTATTGCAGAAAGAGCTGAGCTGTGATTCGCTTGTAGAAGAAGTGCGACGTAGACTAGATAATTTTGTGCTGGTAAAAACGTTTTACAATATCACAGGTACTTATCTTATATAAGAATTATTAAGAAATCTATTGTTGCGTCATACTATGTACAAGATGGATGACATTGAAGCTAAAAGACTCCATAACGCAGAATATATGAGACAGTACAGAAAACGTAGAAGAATAGAAGTATTAAATAATGAACCTAAAGTTCCCCAAAAAATATCAAAAACTAATGCTGAACATACAAGGGAATATATTGATGATTGTAAGAGATTTATTTTGAGTCATTTGAGAAATTATACAAAGATGTTTTCAGTTATGGCCACAGAAGATCCTAATACAATGCTGATAATATTGACAGGAGATCTTAATATTGATTTAAAGAAGGAGGAAAATGAAAGTTTTGTCACATTTATGGAGGAAACGTTTGGCTTAATGTTGATGTCAAATCCTCAATGTAGTACTACTAGATCAAAATCTTGTATAGCTGTGGTGTTTGCATGATATGTTGATACTCTAAAATGTACAAATTTTATAACATATTTCAGCTACCACAGGCCCATCTTAAGCGTAACTAATTCAAGGTAGGCAGTACTGTCTTACTCAAACTTTAATCAATTGTAAAGCGTGTATAAAGCCACTATATAAACTCCTTACCGTATAGACATATTTACGTCAAATTATCCAGAACCGTGGTTCCACTATAACTTTTTAAATACAGTGTGACTAGCATTTACATAATCAGAAATTTTACTGGCAAGATATTTGACCTTTGCCATTTTTGGTTAGGATTCTGAAAATCCATGAAATAACAAGAAGTAAAACAACTTTGTTTTGAAGGTTGTGTCATTGTCAATGTTTCGACAGTGGAGCAATTTATTGTCCCTGAATGGAAACTTGTAGAGAGGATACAGAGATGTAAAGTTTTCTTAGCAGTATCCACTTAGAGCAGATATAAAATCTGTATGACAAAATTATATTTTGTCTCTTTCACCCATTCTCTTATTTTAAGGATGGGCACACACCAAGGAAACCAAAAACCGCAACTTTGAAGATGCGTCACCCATTTCAAGCAGGAATCGAGTTGTCCAATTAACATGGGCCCACCGAGGAAAATGTTTGATTGATTAGTTGCTCACATCATACAGAATGTGATTGTAATTTTTAATTAAGTGCACTTAATTTCTGCAATTCCAAATAATAATATATACCCTGTCAAAATATGATGATGGCAGAAGTGGCGTAAGAAGAGAGGAAGTGGGAGAAGAATAATTTGGGTACGTATGTTTTTTCGTGACAATTTAAGCCCTGATTCCTACATTGTTTCGAAATAACTTAGGACTTGACTCAGGATCCATGACTGGTTAATTCAGTTTATCGATGAGCATTGGTGCATTTCTTTGATAGTGGATCTTCAAAGACCTGAAATTTTAAAAAAGGACTTCAATTTGTGTATAGCTGTATCAGCAAAAGAAACATGCTCAATACTCTCATTCACCGTACCTTACCGTCCCTCATGGAACGTACCCTCTGAGTTCCCTCCCTAACCTGATCGCTCACTCGCACAGTTGGTTACAAATACGTGTAGCCATGGCGGTGTTGTGGTAAATGCGATCGCTGGTCCGCAGGGATGTATTTCGTAAGGGTTATTTGAAATAATGGGTGTCGTACAGAATTGACCCATTTTTAGGCGTTGAAGGTAAAGGCTGTTCTTTAAAATACTGAGAAAATAGTAAGGGTTGTTTAAATTAGTCCACTTCGCAAGACAGGCGAACAGAATTTAAAGTCCTCTCGGGCTATTACCGGTATCAAATGGTAAATACTTACCAATGGTCCCTGAAAAGTCGGCGAATTATCACTTGACACGGCTGATAGCCTGAGAGGACTTTATTGTGTAGTATTTCAGTTTACAACACGCGATAGTGTAACATAACCTAAAATCTCTCAACTTGATGCATAGGCAACTTATGCAACGATTAAAGTCTTGCTTCTGACAGATACAAAAGAAAACTGATGACATGGAGAGAGGAAAAGCATCGCAAGGGCGTGGTGCCAAAACCAAAACTCAGCAATATCCAGCTGATCTGTTTGCCCTGGGTTCCAAGTCCTCCAGAATGGAAGGTGGTGAAGCAAAGCGTGTTGGAGTGGTGCATGGTAAACCAGGGGCCTCTCACTCATTTTCAAGTAAGCATCTTACTATTAAAATAATCTCTTCATATTTCTTATCTGTGTTCCATCTAGTGTTATGTACTGGTCTTCTTTAAATACATTGTCAAGAGTCCTTATTAAATGAACCTGCATGTTTTTATGGCCCTCATGTAATGTGTGCAGGTGCAGATAGGAAGAGAGAAGTTGTAGGTGGGCCTTTGCCACCTATTCCTGCGAAGAAGACAAAGATCGGTACATCATCGATATTAGGGAGGGTCACTGGAAGTGGCAGTAGTGGTGGTGCAGAAGCCTGGGAAATGGTAGCGGTAGACTGTGAGCCGGCAGAACTTGTGCCGGCAGTCCTCGAAGCTTGCAACTTGGATGAAGGTGATAAGGAGGTACATGTTCACACTGGGATTTGAGGTTTACGCAGAAATGTAAGTTTAAGTAGCGATCTGGTTCTGTACTGCCATTGGTCTTTTGGTTGTACTCCACTGACTTTAAGGAATATGCTGCCTCAGTCTTCAGGGTTGAAGTAATGTGAAGAAGTTGGTGATGATACATGGTTAGGTGGAGGATCAGGTCAGAATTGATCAGCCTTCCTGCCCCGATTCTTCGCTTAAGTACTTAAACTGTTTGAAGAAGGGCTGAGTTGTTCTATGAAGTAATTAATTTTTGATATGAGCTGAATATAATGAGAATTTATGAATTGTAACAGTTATTGGTAATATCCAGAATCTGTTGAAGTACGCAGTTTTCAAGTCTGTGTCGTAACTTTGACTAACATGTGGCACAGAAGTTTAAGAAGCATTATTGTGCCTGAGACTGTTTATTTTCTGCTGAAGTGATTATCATGAACATATTAAAATAATGAAGAATAATTGAACATTTGTGATGTCTTTAGCATTATCTGCACTGATAACTTAAAGTTCGCATCATTTTTATTTAAGTAGCATTTGAGGTTTTCACGACGGTGAGTCCAAAGATGGCTGTCTTCTGGGTTGTAGCGCTGTGCTGTCTGGTAGAAGTTTACCAAATTTTCAGAGGTCCTTGCTGCTTCCATCATCACCATCCTGCAAGCACCTCTGATATGTTGGTGACCTTCTACCAGACAGCACAGCGCTACAACCCAGAAGACAGCCATCTTCCCTTGGTAGCGTAGGTTTTGAACTTCAGCATGTGTTTTATTGTGTTAAAGTATTAATGTTATTTAGTTTTTAATCCAACTTGGTTTGAAATATTTTGTTTCAGATTGGTCTTTTATGTGGTGCAATTAGAACGCTGCGAAGTCAGCGGTGGAAACCAGATTCAGTTTCATATCTGGGCTTGCTGTATCTTGCGAAATTGCGGCCCTCATTGTTTGCTGGGGACTGTGTAATGCATGCTTTGTGTAGTTTGCTGCGACGAGACACATCTCATAACTTTAAAAGCAAAGGAAATCCTTTGGTTCCTGTCCTGGCGGCCAACCTACTTCTTCGAGGATTCCAAGACAGGAGAACGTGGCCTGATGTTTTCATTAAGGTGAGGATGGAGTTGCTGTGTGCAGTTAAATGCGTGGTTGTGTTACCCGTCATTAGAGCTTTACAGTGAAGATGTACTATAGTTAAAAACTGGCTCATTTACTTTCAGTTATATGTGGAAGATTCTCTTGGTGATCGAGTGTGGGTTGATCACGAAGATTGTGGGGGCTTTGTGAGCAATCTTTTGACAGCTGTTAACAGTCGTATTCCGCCGCGATCGTTGCTGCAGCCTGATTTGCCAGGGCTGCCCGGTTCAAGAGGTGAATCTTGCCCCTCTCCATGTACAGTGGTAATTGACGATGACGGAGCAGAAGGATCTGTAGGAAGTGGTGAAACAGGGCTGCCAACTGATATCAAGGAAAAGATGGACATTCCTGTTGTACCAAGGTAAATAATAGTTAATTGGTCTTTTTCTGAGTATCAATAATAATAATAATAATAATTTATTTACATTCCATGGATCTATAAGACAGTCAGATGACGATAGGATGTGGGAAAAGTCATAATAATAAAAATAATAATACAATACATATTATAAAGTACAATTCGTACTATTATATAAATTTCACATAATACAAAACAAAGTATTCAGCCAGAGAAATGATAAGCTACAAGTAGATATTGTTAGGGAGTTCTGTGCTGTTAAGGATTCTGAGTGTAGATGGATCTCTGTTAGGTTATGAAGTAAATTTTCAGTTTTTGTTTTACAGCCATAAGTTGCTTACTTTTTACTATTAAACTCCACAGGATAAACTGACTCATTCACCAAAGACTTTTATCTTTTAAAAAAAAAAAAAACTAAATTATGGTTAAAATGCGTCACCACTGTCACAATTGTCTTTCTTATGAAAAAACCAAAGCTTAACCTAACCAATAAGTTTCTTTTGTGTGTTTAGGTATGTAGGTGCACAGGACGCAGTTGAGCAGATAATAATGGATGCGGTGAGAGAGCAGTTAAACAGGAGACAATCTCCAGAGAATATAACCCGCAACTTTTTGCGTCTCCTGTCTGCCTCTTGTGGCTTGGTTGAGGTATGTCGATCAAAACCAGGAATACGGTTCTTATTCTCCTTTATTGTTATAAAGATTTCTCTATTATCAAACTGGATCTTAAGTCTGTAGTGTAGCATCCCAGCGTGTTGATTCTAGGTTTTTCTTGTTTGTCACATTTCACATAAAATGCGATCCCCAGCGCAATGGCATGGGATCAGGGAAATGAAGCTGGTGATGGCCACGTCAGACTGAAACACGTTGCTCTGGTGACTGGACAGTGAACTAACTGTGTGGAAATCTACCCTGACTATTGTATCACTAATACTTGTTTCTTTTAGTGCATAAATGCCAGTGATCCTTGAATGAATTATTTAACAGTGACCTAAGAATGTCTGAGGTTATTGTGACGTTTGATGATAGCTGTCACTTGAACCCAAACCCATCCTGGACTTGAACGCTGGACAGAGGTCTGGGCCCATGCAGAGCTCTACAGCAAGGTGGAAGTGTTCCAATATGAAATGTGACTCGTACTGTCGTAGGTTCGTGTGACGACTGCTCCTCGACTTGAGATATGGTTGCAGAATCCGAAACTGATGCGACCGGCGCAGGAACTCCTTATGTCTGTATGTCTGAACTGCAGTACACACACACAAAAGGATATTGAAGTTATCTCACACCTCGTGAAGATACGGCTGAAGACCAAAGCTCTGATCAACCTCTACCTCTCCTGTATCAGGTGCAGTAATCCCAAATTGAAGGAAAAGCCTTGCATGGTGTAGTACGTACTGAGGTGCAGAGAGAGTGAGAATCTGAGGGGTAATTCTCTATATTGGGCAAAGCAGTGGTTGCACTTGGATTATTTCTATGTGTATTCCATGTGGTGTGCCAGAGTGGCTCAGTCAGTATAGTGACTGACTAAGGACTGAACGACTGGGGTTCGATCTCAAAGGGGGCAGAGGATTTTTCTTCTAGCCTCTACATCCAGACTAGCTGAGGGGCCCACCCAGTCTCCTGTCCAGTGGGTGCCGGGGTCCTTTCCCAGGGGTAAAGTGTCGCCAAGGCGTGATGCTGACCACTCACTAGGACCGAGGTTAGGAATGAGTGGGAGCTGTGATGCCACAGGCTTATTAATCATATTTGGAGTATGGAAGACCCGCGTGTCACTTCATTTCACAAAGTAAATGTTTGTAGGTGCGCGCACACCCTTTCATATGTACATACACGTGCTGTTTCCACAATTGGTGAAGTATACTGGTAAGTTTGAGAAATTCATATTCCTGTTTTCAATAATATTATTGATTATGGTTCAGAGTATACCATTTATTGTCATTTATAGAACAGTTTCTACATTTATAACATTTACATAATTTTGAATGTGTTATGAATTACATCTCATTTCATAGACAGGATTTTCAATATATTATTACATATCACCCTAACCAATATTAGAACATTGTTATGTTTGTCTTGTTTCATCTTAATCTTGTTGAAAATACACATACTTTATACCAGTATTGTGTCCAATTTGAGGTAATCTAAGGCTTTTAGAGGCTAAAGTGAGCCCTTTCTCGTACAATTCACGGCCTAGCCTGGGTGTGAAGTCATATTCGGGAGGTTTGTTATTTTTGTCTTCCGAAGTCCACATTTGAACTTCCTGTGGGACATAAGCGATTACGTTGGTTGCTTTCTTTTGCTTGTGGCCAAGTTGTGATGAAAATCGTACCCTACTACTTGGACTGTACTTCATAATTCCAATATCATCTGAGAGTTGTGAACTGTAGTTTTCTAACTCTGATGTGATGTTGTTGACAGCCGTTGCATAAATTTCAGAAACTGTATCTTGATCAAATTGAGGTAGAAAATCATATTCTCTTGGTTTGTTTGTAGTTTCCAGAAACATCCAGAATGGTCTTGGTTTTTTGGGCCATTCATTTTCATAGGATTTTTTTTCTCTGCGCCCAAGACGAGGTCCAAACCACATACCACCATGAGCAACTTCTTGTTTCACTTGTTCGTCATGGACGTTTGACTTTTTATCCCTACGCCCCAGACGAGGTCCAAACCACATTCCACCATAAGCAACTTCTTGTTTCACTTGTTCATCATTAACGTTAGATTTTTTGTCCCTACGCCCCAGACGAGGTCCAAACCACATACCACCATAAGCAAATTCTTGTTTCACTTGTTCGTCATTAATGCTAGACTTTTTGTCCCTACGCCCCAGACGAGGTCCAAACCACATTCCACCTCTTGCAGATTCTTGTTTCACTTGTTCGTCATTAACACGAGACCTTTTGTCCCTACGCCCCAGACGAGGTGCATACCACATTCTGTTGCTTGTGGGTTGTAACATTAAAGTTTCTACATCTCCCTGTCCTGTGAACAGGCTAGTTGTAGTTTTATTTTTAATGATTTCTGCAGGAATACTCCAGTTTTCCAATATGAAGTTATTCATAATCTTGTCTTCTAATTTTATGTGAGGTTGAGATTCTGCTGTGCCATTTGGTTTTTCATTCTTGTGATCCATGTTAAATTCTACTGACAAATTAATCACATCTGCGGCAGGAGATTTTTTATTCTTGCAACTCGGACGCTGTCCATCCACTGTACCGTAATCACTTCCAGGAATTCTTGTTTCTTCCATTGCTGTATTGACTGAACACAAATTGTTAACTGCTGCAGACACAAGGAACCAAATTAAAATGTGTTGACTGCATAGTAGTTGCGTGTTCATGTTATAGCAGCACTTGAAGGAAACAAACTTGCTGTAAATTCTAGAGACTTCTGTTGACTTTGGTCTGAGTTCGATCAGCTTTTCTGCTATGTTTTATACTGCCGAACTGAATCTCATTGTGAGTTTTCTTTCATCACTGTCAGCTCAAAGTAGGTGGATGAAAATTGATTCTTTCTAAATGCCATTTGAAAACATAGACTCATTCTGCAAGGCTACAGATTTCTAGGTTGTGAATTACAACGAACGCTTTCACACAGTTGATCATGAAAGTATCTTAGTATGTTGTCTTGGTGTTAATTATTTGAGTATAAAATGTTAATTAAATTATTTATTAATTGCAGAAGAGGAAATTTGAAGCTAAATTTCAAATAAATAATTGTACGGTAAACTCACAAGTTAGCAGAATGTAATTTAGTATAATAAATGCAGTTCAGAACATTGTATCTATTTTTAGAATTCATGTCTTTTCAGTATAATGTAGCTGAATGTTTCTGTAAAAGGTAGTATGTCAGTAACTGTGGGCGTGGAAGGAATCACAGTTGAATTACTCCCTGTTGAGTGACAGATGGTGTTTGGAGCTATTTCAGAGTTTTGTAGGATTAGAAGAGAAGGAAGACAGTCGTGGTTCTCTAAGGGTATGATTCGATTCTAGTAGTTTGAATGCATGAATGGTTCAAGTTCCAAGAAGTATCCTTAGCTCTCTCTTTAGCCGTAATTGAGAGAAGTTTTAATAATTTTCATATAGATCTTTTGGTTTTGTGTACATGTTATGAACTAATATCAAGCCTGCCTTGCAGGCGCAGTCACGGGCCAAAAAGCTGCAATGTGAGTCTTGATCCCTGACTTTTTCCAGGTTGTTTTTGCTTTGGCCATTTTAATTTGGCTCTGAGGCCATAGAATGTGTCTTTTAGAGCAGGATGGAAGAAGCCATTTTTACTGTGAATGTCATTTTGCGTAATATGAATCTTTTATTTTTTATTTTTACTCCATTTAAAGGCATTTTTATTTTGTAAATAAATATGTTTAGGCTTTGAACAAATTAGGATAATTAATAAATAATTGTAACTGTTATTTGTTTTATATAGGGAGACAAACATGGTGTTTTCCCTTAGAAACATTCTGTCATTTTACCTGTCCATGAATCAGAATGGGTTGTGTGCAGCTGCTGGTATCTGTTTACTTCTTGGTCTGCAATGTAGTCTCTGAATTCTTTTTCTTTCAAAATAAATTGTTTTATTAGTAATTAAAAGTCTGCAATATCAGTAAGCCACACAGTTTATCGAGTTATTCAGAAAATGATACTCTGTTGAGCTTGGAACATTGTCACATAAACCATATTACCTCTTAATATTATGTGTTACATTTAAAAGTTAACTAATTTCTGCTAGCGGTAACATACGTGGTCACGGTGATCGTACTTGAAAATCGCCGGTTAAGACAGAAAGAGTCCAATCAGTTTTATTCCTTTGTGTCAGTGCATTTTGGTGGGTTTTTTTTAGACATGGGAACATGTGCGCTGAAAGGGTAAGGCCAGTAAACACTTTTGAAGTCCTGAATTCCATTGTTACTCTAAGGAAACTGTAACAAAATCAATTTCACTTTGCATACAGGGAGATATTGATGGTAGCTGCTAAAGCCACTGGAAGCTGTGCCAGTATGTCTGAACTGCACATTTGTCATTCGATATTGTAATTTAATTATTTATAGATGGACTTCATTAATGGTAGATTAATTGCTCGATTTATTTATGTCTTTGTGAATTCAGATATGTTGGTGTAATTATAGCAGAAATTTGATCCATCACGATGTTAATGGCAAAGTGAACTGAGGAAGCCGAGACTATTATTCTGTTGAGTAACTGTTGTCTTTTTAACCACAGTTATTGAGGTACATAATTAAAATCCTGGACAGAGTGGGTTGAATTTTAAAAGAAATCACTGTCTCTTTGTTGGAGGTGAATATTCCTCCTGCCAGTCCAAACAGCTGTAGTGCACTTACATGAATGTTCCACTAAAATTGTTGTAACATATTTACTTGCTTTTGAAAAGACTTGTTGTCAATTATGTTGTCAGGGAACTGATAACTGCACATCCAGACAACTTGGCTACAGTGTTGAAGCATACGATCTACAATGAATTGTCAACTGCTCGTAATCCCAACAACATGGCCATGATATCTGTGATGTTCCAGTCTGCTCCTGATTCAGCTGCAACTTTTCTTGCTGAGATATTCCAGGTATACTGATGCTCATTTTTAGGAAGTATTTAGGGTTATTTGATTGAATGTTTCAGTGATTATTACGCTTTTATCACATACTATTTTAAAATTCTAATTATCATCTTCTTTCATCATTTGCTGATGAATGTGTTCAGATGAACTTCAAGAACAATAAAGTATATCATGTGTTATTCTAAACATTTATTTTGTGTGTGTGTGTGTGGGTGTGCACTTTTTTAAGAAAAAAATATAGATTAGGGTACTAAGCCATTTGATGGATTTAATAAAACTTGGTATGAACGTTATGATGTTAGAGGCTACCTTTAATCACCATTAATATTGACGTGGAAGAGCTGTGCACATTTCTGATGATCGAGCGTCACCGTCACCATACAATGCGCGAGTCTTAACGTTTTGTAGAATGCTAAATCCTTGATGAATATACCACTTTTGTTGAGGCAACATTTCCATTAATGAAGGCTGTGTTGTTTTTTGACTTTGTATAGTTAATGTTTAGAAATATTATGAAACATTTCCACTTTACAGGATCTGTTGATGAATCGTGAAGATTATCTTCGTCCTATCCGCGCCCTGTTAAGGGAGATTGTCCGTGTCTTGAGACACGACATCAACATATCGGGTCTTTGTAGAGGACTGATGCTTGATAGAAAGGACTCGGCACCACAGTTCCGTGATTTTGAATTCAAGGCAGGTGTCAAACAAGCGTGTTTTACCATCAATAATATATTGTTTCCTGGCTAAAATTCTACATGAATGTCTCATCTCTCCTATGCTCTTTTATGTGTTTATCAGCTGAAAGTATTCTACAGTATCTGATATGGCCTGTTACTTGCAGGAACGTATGTTTGTGTCCATAACAGACCTGATTACCTTGTGCAGTCTTCTCGCCGTCTCTCCATCTGTGAGAGAAGCAGCTGCTCTCTTGGCACGTGGCGATAAGAGAGAGATCGCCGTGTTGCACGTAAGTCATGACTTCCGTTTGTCGCGTTGGTGCTTCCTGTCTCCTTCTGCAGCTCGTGTCATGCCAGTGCTTAATCTGTTGACATTTTATTAAATGTGCGATGTTCTGTTGTTCATCGTAGATGAGTTTTATTTCTGCATGTGTTTGTGTGTTGTAGCAGGTATAGTTTGTACAAAATTTACATTGATGAAAAATTTAGTGCGGTAAGAAGTGGGAGGGGTTTTAAGAACTGTGATACATCTTGTAATAAGTATGTCAGTAGGCAGTAAAACAGACCTGTGTTCATTTAAAACCTCATAATTCCACCTGTGAAGGATTGGCATAGCGCCATTCTGCCTACTTAATCCTTAGTTTCTTTGAATTTGTATGTCATTTATTTGGCATTAACCTCTATTGTCCGTGCTTTGCTGCTTTGTGTGATCAGGCTGCATCGCTCCAGCATCTTTAAACTATTAACTTCAGAGTTAAAGTCCAGTCTGCAGTGCCATTGTATTGTAATCAGCGAACAACTTGGCATGTGGGTGATGTCAGAATTCTGTTAGTAATGACTGTGGACTCGACTGCATGACTTGAACTGCTGTCCAGAACTGAAACCTGAGATAAATGTTTTCAGAAACGCACGGCCAAGACTTCCACTGCAATGAATGACCTGCCCAGTTGCATATGGTTACGCAGGGGTGTAAATCTCCTGTTTAAAGATGGCTGTCTTCTGGGTTGTAGTGCTGTGCAGTGTATCACCCTGCTCAAAAGAACCTTATTACAATAAATGTTTGAGATTTGTTTTGATAATAACGTTTAGTGTAACTTATTATGAAGGTTTATTCTGTTTCATAATTTTTGTTTTACCAGAATTTTCAACTCCTTGTGGCAAAAATTGAACGTGATGCGGTTTGGTGGCTGCATGAAACTGTCCCTAGGATGTACCGACCTAGCGCTGCTGAATTCGTCCATGCTCTTCATAAGGTGGTTCAGTTAGTACAGTAATTTTAGGCAGTGTCTGTTTTCGATTCTTAAATCAGTTTAGGTGATTAATTAAGATATGAGTGGTAAAATTTGCAAAAAGTTAATAGCAGTCTTCTCGGTTATAGTGGCAGAAGTTTACAAAGATTTTGGAGGTCCTTGCTGCCTCAATCATCAGGGTCTGATAATGGAGGCAGCAGGGACCACTGAAACATTGTTAAACTTCTACCAGAGTACGTGGCGCTACAACCCAGAAGACCGCTATCTTTGGAATCACCGCCGCGAATACTTCAAATCCTGCTTTATAAAAAGTTCTTGACTTCTATTTGGAGATTGTTTACATCCATAAGAAACCATTATTTTAAGTGCATTATAAAGCATAAAATCAGTCGTAGTTTGAAATACTTATAAGTAATTTTCTCTCATAACACTTATTTTACTGTCATATGAATGTGATGCCCTTTAAGTGCTCTAGAAACACTAAACAGCATGAGAGGAACTCAAGCCCTTATTAGTGTAAAGTCCGGTGGAAACGTGGCAATACTTTAGATTGCCATATATATAGTAGGTTCATTAAGTTATTACCATGTCATGAGCTTAGATCAATACGTGCTATTGAGAATTTGTGTTTACAAACCGTTGTCTTGCGCAGGTGTTGTTTATGGAACACCCCGAACAGTATTACAATCGTGACATGTGGCCGCCAGAGAACGACCGTCCTTTGATGTTCCGGTTGGCTTCAGATGTACCGGTTCTTCAGAATACTCTCATTCGTATATTCGTCATAGGATTGTCAAAGGTAATTCCAGACTTTGTTCTTTCAGTGAAAACTTATTATCGCTATTTCTTTCATGCATAGACTCTGCTTTGGGTATGTTACCAGCTCAGATGGATGGTTATGTAACAGTGCGTATTCCCCAGCCCAGAAAGAAAGAAAGAAAGAGAGAAAGAAAAGTAAGTCTGATTTTTTTTTTATTTCAAGGTAATGAATGTATGTGAAGTTTGATCAGGAATTGGTGCTTATGGTTTTCAGCACAGAGAAAGAATGCGAATATTTCAGTGATAGAAAATATGTAATCGGTTTTCTCACAAGAATAGATGAACGAAACTGCGTGAGATATGGCAAAGTCTTATCCACATATGAATTATCCATTGTAGGAGACTCTCCATGCTCCACTCTTTTTTTATGTAACTGCAGACATATGTGAACGAGGCTTTTGTACTCTTTCTGTGCTATACCGTCTTGTCAATGTTTCGGAGGAATTGATTACCTCCATCTTCAGGGTTTGCATCTAGTAATGGTAAGTTATTATTCTGACCATACTTGTATTTAGTCAGCCCATTATACCAGCTTTGTGAAATATAATCGATTCATACATAATGTACAGATTACAATGCAGTAATTACATTATTCAGATTATAGATTATAATGTGGATAATGCACCCTGTAAACCTTTTTAGAAGGGGATGTTTATTTGGAATTGTGCTTGACTTACAGAACTTAATGCTTTCTGCTAGTTCTTATTTTTCCCCAGCACCAATGTTAGAATCTGTAATATGTTTTTGTATCTGATGCCTTTTGTTAATTTTCAGGACCATCCCTTGGCACCCCCAGATACTCTAGAATTAACTGATCAGCTGTTGAAGAGGGCAGCTGCTCAGTCGTCAGAAAGCTTACCCATGTTGCAGGCCGATAAACTTGACATCATTGACCTCGTGTTTAATTTGAGTGCATACCACCATCCAGACAATATCAACCTTCCTCCAGGGTAAACATCTCTTACTGTCTTATGCAGGGTGGGGCAGCGTTCTTTCATCATTTTTAAGATGACCTAATTGACCTCAGTTTATTCAGATTTGTTCAAAGTAATGTAAACTGAAATACAACTGTCTGCCGCTGTTGAGGAATGGTATAACAAAAGTAACTTCTTTGATGTAACACCATTCAGATGTCCATTAAGACTGATGGACTCAGTTCATAAGACTTTCCATTATACGCAGTAACGTGGCCAGGGATGCAGCATTAATTTTTTTCAGAAATTCTCTGTTTGAGATTATTTAAATCAGCTGGATATGTTTGTAACACTTTGATTTTCAAGTAGCCCCCTGAAAAGGAATCACAAATCAACAGATTGGGTGTATGGGCTGGCCACGAATGTAATTTTTAGCCTAGACGTGATGCGTGTCATTTGTCTCAAATGTACATTTGGTACAGGATCATACTTACTATTTTTTAAAACTCATTAACTCAAGTTTATTTTTTTTAATTTCTGGGATTTTGCATTCTTGCGGCATTAAATGTAAGATGTCACAAACCGTAAGACCAGAATCAATATCTTCCTTACTTTGCACGGTTGAGAATCGCTTTCAGATTGATCTACTGGATTTTTCATTCGTAACGTCATTACCGGTGTGTTCTGGCTTTGCAGTGGTACATATTTTAACCATCTGCATGATTATTTATTTTGTTGTAACAATCTTAGTTTTGTATAATTTCTGAACTTCTTGCGTAATTGTTACAGCTACTGTCCGCCTCAGTTAGCAATAGCCAACCTGTACTGGAAAGGTTGGATCATGCTACTGATCTTGTCAGCACATAATCCAACTACATTTGGTAGCGTAGCCTGGGAGAAATATCCTACTCTACGCACACTGATGGAAATGTGCATTACGAAGTAAGTTTCACTGAGTGTTGTGGATGTTTGTATTCTCGTTGTGTTGGTTCAGATGCGTACAAAGGGCACAGGAAATTTAAACTGAGAAAATATTCATGCTTGTAGTCTGTACGTACAAGTGTCAAAGGGTAAAGAAATATGATCTGAGGCTGTGATAAATGTTCTTAAATAATTAGTTAACACAAAAATGAGGAGAGAATGTGGGAGTATCATAACCTAAAATACAATAAAAATGAAAGTGTGAATTTAATGGAATGTGTTTGTACTTTTCAAGACTGGTTAGTGAGATTTCTTTGCATTGTATTTATTATTGATGCAAAGTTTGATGGAAAACTGTACACAATGCCAGCTGTAAATTACCCTGAAGGATCAACATTTTAGAGCATTAAAGAAAAATGCAGAAACAATTTTTTTTTGTGAAGTGAAGTAGTAAACTCAGAATTGAGTTAACATGGGTATGGTACAGTTTGTATGTAGACAACATATGTAAAATGTAGTGGAATAAATAATTTTGATATGGAGAGGAGGATTCGTGCCAGTGTCTCATGTCGATCATCTAGTAGTAAATGCGCCGTACTGTGATAATGTTATGTATCCTCTAATGTTCAGTCACTTCACGTATCCACCGCCGACAATCGCCATGGGTGAGCAAGTGGAAGAGACAAAGGCAAAGGAGCTCCAAATCGCTGCTCTTGAGAAACAGCAGATTCTTGAATTTGAATCGTATCTTGCCGCAGCGTCTACTAAGCAGACCATCACTGAACAAACCAGCCTTCTGCTTACGCAGGTGAGAAATGTTGGTATATGAACTACAGCCCTTAAGACGTTGCCAACTGTGTAGCATGCAGCGGTGTTGACACAACATAAAGAGGTGCACGTTTTTGTTCTGCGTAGGTTGCCGCAGTGTCATAATAACACCTTCTGTTCGCCTTTGTGCTGTGCATTATTTATTTGCTGCCTATGAGCAGTCTTAAATGTTTAATTGTTTTATACATTTTATGATGTTTATTAACATAATTGGGTCCTATGTATATAGAATAGTGAATATTATTATATTATTGTTCCATTATGAGGCTTGAATTATGTTTGTATGTAAATAGAAGTCACTAAACTTACTACCACATGAGTGTAATACTCAGTATTATGTTTACAAAAGTCTTATAACTGCATATAACTGACAAATGTAGACACAGGCGTGTATGCAATTCCATTTCTCGTAAGATCTCAGGAACTTGATCTAGTGGGTGTTTGTAATCGTTTGGCCGTCACGTGTGTTGCTCATAGTAATATCTTTATTACAGTTGATAACAATGGATCCCACTGGGCCCCCACGCAAACCTCCACAAGCCGTTTTGGAGCAACTGCAGTCCCTCAATTCAACACACCGGATGGGTCATTTGCTGTGCAGAAGTCGGCACCCAGACTTTCTTTTGGACATCATCCAACGTCAAGGAGCCTCTCAGTCTATGCCGTGGTTGGCCGACCTGGTGGAGAGTTCAGAAGGAGCCCTGAGGTAAGCTGTTAATAATTTAAAATGGGAAGAAATTCAGCGACATGCACAAATCACTACTTTGGTACCAGACATGCTATTGTGTGTATGCGTGTTGCCATAGTTATGTTTTGTATATCACGATTGATATTCCTAAATAGGATGAGAGGTTGAAGGAGGTTGCATCAGGTGACCTTGATGGCCACCACAGCCAATCTATTTGTCAGAGATGCTCATCAGGGAATTTTTTTGTTAGCCCAGCGCACCACCGAGTGGTAAACACACAAACGTGTAGCAACTACACAAGAACGTGGACATATATTTCATACATTTTTGTGTGTTTTATGTTCATCACTTTGCATAAATTATATGCAAAAAAATATATATGAGTTGTTAATTAAGTTTGTAATTAATCTGAATTCCGTATGACTTTCAGTTTTATTTTAACTGTATAGGCAAATGATTTGCTGCATAACCAAACATAAGACTACCTTTTCCGTAACTTTCAATGTTATGCATCATAAGCATTTAGTGTATTGGTGTTTCTTAATTTCTATTTCATAAACATATCTCTTCCAAATAAATTAAATGCATCCCTGCAGTGAATGAACTTTTTCCAAGCCACAGTTTGTTAGAAGAGTGGAGAGATGTGGCTGAAGGTGGCTAGACATCACTGAAATGGGCTTGTGAATTCTTGGATTCCATGGATGAAAGGAAAATGCAGTGGATACGAACCTTTGAACGAACTTCATTGAGTACTGCACTGGGTTGTAGCATCACAGAAGCAGAAATATGCGTCAAAGGAACCTGATTGCTGCTTAGTGAATTTAGATTTTAGAAAACTGACTTTAGTGATGTAAGTTAATAATATTTCCAGTTTTATGATTCTTGTGTTGTGGTCATTGCAGCCACCTTC